CAAATCGTGGTTATACCAAAGTATCTTTGGTTATACTTTTTATACCACAGGCCTTTCCTCAGGGATCAAGGTTGCTCCCATAGCTGTGTGAAAGATTTATAATTACAGCCCCCCCCCCAAAAAAAAAAAGTACTAAAACCGTAACCCAGAAAAGCCGTATTGAGGGCTTTGAGAACAGCATGTGCCTAACTCGGAAAGGATTTTCCATAAAGTATGACCGTGTGAAATTCCGCGGTGGGTGTTTCGGAGATCGTCTGAAAGAATACGAAGTCGAAATGCGCCTATTTGCCAATTCGTGGCAAAAATACGGCATCTGAAAGCACTTCCGTGCGATATTCCTAGATATGAATGGTTGCCAGAATAAAGGGGAATCAATAGCTGTGCAATCAGCGGTTTAAGCAGGTTGGCCCTACATACATTTTGGACGCTCGCAACATTCTCCTTTCATTTCTTTTTTTTTTTCTCCAGCGGGTTCAGTAGTGGTCCGATGAAATTATACTTCCGCTATCCTACCTTTTCCTGTGCAGTAGATACGCTTTTACGTTCTTTAGTATATTGCTCGTCGTCCACTGCCGTCACCTGACATGGTGGCTAACTTTCTAGGCGATCGGTTTTGCACCGCTCGGCCGACTGTTTACTGTTTTATCGTTGTTGTACTATGTCTGCCTTGCAGATCAACGCATGCAAAGTGTGTGATTGCGTGTTGTTGCATCCATTTCTGAGATGTGTTACTTCGTGGTATCAAAGCGCACTGTGCTCACCATGTGGAGATCACTTGTTTTTATAACTGCTTGCATCTTTTGTCTTAAAAATGTTTTGAGGAGTTCTTTTTTACCAGTTTTTCCTCGATTTTGATGTAGTGGTTTTTTTTGGTTTTTGTTTAAAATTATTCTATAATTGTAAATTTTGTTTAAAAAATTCAATTTCATCTTGTACGTCTGCCATTATTTATGATTTTCTGGAAAAGGGTTCCCACCAAAGATAAATGTATTCAAACATTATTTTTATTCCTAAAGTTCATAGTTGAGACAATGCAGGGGATATTTTTTCAGTGCTGTTTATTAGATTACTTGCATGCTCAAATTCTTTTTAATGTGTATTTTTGTCAATAAAACTTTCATTGCATATTGTGGCTCATATTTTTGACAATTGAGGCAGAGGTGTTCATCAAAACTTGGACTGTGGGTGTTTGTTACCCCATTTCTTGTCACCCCTTAAAATTCAATGGATTTATACATATATTTTTTTTTTTCGAGGCAATTGTGGATAGGCCTATGTTATATTATCATTATTGTAAGTGCTCTTTTTGGCATTTCATTATTTTGTCAGTATACGATTATGGTTGCTCAAGTAAGTTTAATGGATACAGGCCTATTTCCACATCGACAGCCTGCATTTTTGTAGACATGTTCTTTTCCCACAGGAATAAGTACACTTTAGTGGGTGGTTGACGGGTGCTCTGGTGTGGTTTGCTTCTTCTTTCTTATCAAACATCTATCGTCTTTATCTCCCCTGCTTCTTTTTTGTGTTTGTTACTCTCTTGTACACCTCTAATCTTCGGCACTTATATGACCTTATTGTGTTGGAAGTGCCGTAAAAGAATTACTTAAAGAACACTAAGTGCACTTTTGTGTGCAGGGTTGTTGTGGAAGATTAAAGGGTAGAAAAGGAAATATTATTTGGTATAGTAGTAAATATTTTGCACATTATTAATAGGGTTTTGGAGTTTTTTCTAGGTATGGAACTCTAGGTAGGCTTGATTATTATCATCCATTTATACTTCCACATGTACTGTCAACAATTTTGTAGACTTGCTCTCTTTCTTTCGGGATAATATGTGCTGGGTTAGCGATCATGCCCTTGTTTGTATGCGTATGTGTCATGAAACTTGATAGGATTTTTGGTGAAAAAAATATTTAAAAGAAAAGAAAAATAAGATATTGTCCTATGCATTAGTAAACATGTAAATGAGGCGAGGCTTTCAGCATTTTTGGTTGGTGTATGGCATATAACATGATAGCATTCGGCTAGTAATGAACTTGTTTTTATTTTTTTAAAATCTAATCGAAACAAAACTAATCAGCTTTTTCTCATTCGTGAAAAGAATTGAATTCATGATCAGATATAAACTTCAATTTCCAATGTGAAGGGTGTGGTTGTAAAGTACATGTAAATACGATAAAGACACAGGTAATTTGAAACTTGGAAAATGGGATATTAAGCGCTGCTTCAAGTCAGGTGCACGAAATGTGTCCTGGTATGTGGGGAAATGAAAACTTCAAAAGGGTGTGCATTTCAGAACAACACCTACATCTTTGGGAAATTCCCTAGTTTTTTTGTGTCACAGTTTTAAAAAAATTAAAAAGTAATCAAGCATTTGGTTTTAAATATGCTGATTTGCATGTCATATTTCTTCTTTCTTTGTTCAACATTTGTTTGTTTTTTTGTATCAATATTTTTACGTTTTGTGTTGTGATTAACACTTTGATTACAACTCTTCCTGTAGTGTAATAGTTTTCTGTTATAAGATTTTTAAAAGATAAAAAAGCGTGGAGACTTTGCTTTTGCTTCATAGGCATATGCTGTTTGAAAGCTGAGGAGATACTTTCTAAGGTTTGATTTTGATAAAGGAAGTCCTGGTTATTAGTATAACTTTGGAAAGCAAAGTATTTCACTGATAGACTTTGCCATGAAAAAAAAAAAATTCCAACATTTTGGAGATCCAAGTTTGTAAAAGAAGAATGACAAGTATTTTCTTATACTGGATTATTTCTCTCTTTTTTTTTTTTTAAGAAAAGAAATAAAATAAGAATATGTCTTACTTTTAAATATATTTTTTATTTAGAATAAAGTTAAGGTTGTGGCTTAAAGCCTTAGTTTGGAGTGAAAAAGATTTCGTGACTTAACTTAGACCTGGCATGACAAAGAATTCAACTTGCTTGGCATTATAGAAACTTGGATCTTTTTGCCTCTTCCTGAACTTGAGCAGTTTAGGGTTAAGATACGATAGTGGAATAATATTATTATTCTTTATTAGTTTTGCATTGGAAGAGATTACAGTGCGCTTTTATCAGCTTTTTCAATTAAAAATATTCATTCTTAGTGTAGCATAGCACCATCTTAGCTCATCACATTCTCTCTATTCCTATCACCTCATTCCATCCCCTTTCTCCATCTGTTCGTCTACCCCTGTTTCCTTCAACCTCCTCCCCTCTCTTTCTATCTCTCTCTGTCTCTCTCTCTGTGTCTCTCTCTCTGTGTCTCTCTCTGTGTGTCTCTCTCTCTGTGTCTCTCTCTTTGTGTCTCTCTATCTCTGTCTCTGTCTCTGTCTCTGTCTGTCTCTGTCTGTCTGTCTGTCTGTCTGTCTGTCTGTCTGTCTGTCTCTCTCTCTCTCCCTCCGTCTCCCTCTCCCTTTCCCTCTCCCTTTCCCTCTCCCTTTCCCTCCGTCTCTGTCTGTCTCCCTTTCCACCCCTCCACCGTTTTTATCCTTTTTTTCACTTTATGATTACACAATTACGTAATAGTATCGCTGTAGTGTCGTTCCAGTTACTAAATGACTTTTCCTTGCGCATTTTCTGTCTGTCAATGGCTGGGGGGTGGTTGCAAATATACACAATTTTGTAGTGTGGTTTTTGTACATTTTATGCCTTTAGATAATACATTGTAAATTTCTGAGCGGAACTTTTAAAAAGAAAATTTAATATTATTGTATCCCACTCAGCCTGGGTTGGCCCTCAATTGCATAGTCGAAGCAGCCTGTCTCCCAAATGATTTATAATGTCACAATGGAAGCCTAACAGATTTGAAATCATGGTCGTTACATCATACAGGCTCTTTTGATTGGAGAAATCTTTTTGTTGTTTTTGCCACGCTTAGTGCCGCGGTATTGATTTTTTTTTCATTTTGAATAGGGGGCCTAGACCTTTAAAAAAAAAAAATAACACAGTGTCCTGGCTAGTGACCAGGTGCGTACTTTCCTTTCTATATGTTTCTAGTGGAGCTCTAATAATCAGTTTGTGTGTACCTAATCTTGGTTTCGAATTTTTTTTTACTAAATTGTATGGGTTTAACGCCCCTTGAGTTCAAAAGTGTACCAGATGTAGCAGTGTCGTTTAAGGAAAAACAGTCCCTGTGATGTAGGACCCTGAAAAATGCTCCATGTAGCCGTGTGTACGCTTCTCCTACCATATTTAGTTTACTTTACTTTCATTAAGTTGTAGCTTCGTCGAGAAGCGGGTTAATTCGTCTTTTAAGTAGGGATTATGTTGTCGGTTCCCATTTTTAAAAGATATGTACGATGGGATTTTAGCTCTTTGTGTGTTTTTATTGGGGTTTTTTGTTTGTTTTTTGCTTGGTCAGTTGAAAAAAAAATCACTTACTTTATGCGAGTGTTCACAGCACTGGTGTAAGTCTCAAACCACGTTAACCATGCATTTTTATTACATATTTGCCTCAGTTATGCGGATTTCGCTCACTCTCAGAGTCTGCCTCTGGCGACACAGTCACGTGGTTTGGGGCTTACGTTATTTACTAGGGGACATGTACTTAGATGGGTAAGTCTACTTGAGCCTTCTATTTAGAACTTACTTGACCTATTACTCACATCCGAGGTCTCCACTCACGCTCCGGGGCTCTATGTGAGCCAGTGTGACGTCACGCACTATAGACGATTTTAACTATTTTAGAAATAAATGAGGGGGGCTCAAGTACACTTTTACCCTGCAAACGAGCGTTTGATAAATCATTGACGCGAGTGGTTGGCGAGTGCTCTGGTGTGGTTTGCTCCTTCTTTCCTGTCAAACTTCTGTCGTCCTTATCTCTTCTCCTTCTTTTTTGTGGGTTTTTTTTTTTTACTCTCTTGTACACCTCTAATCTTCGGCACTTTTGTATGACCTTATTGTATTGTAAGTGCCGTGAAATTCTTACTAAAACATTGAATCCTTGATTGCTCTTGATGTGATAATGTTGTATCATCATCGCAACCTCTGACTCTGTATCAGACTACATGGCAGACGCGGACAGTACTTTCTTTATCAACAGTAAGTAATATTTTTTTAATGCAAGGAATGTTGTCTCACAAACTCGTTCACTTTTTTGTTCATTTACAGTTTGAATATTTTAAAAATATTTTTTTGGGAGTCATCCCACTTTTTGTTGTGAATTTTAAAAAAAAGTTTGTTCTAATTCAAAAGCATTTCTGCTGTGGTGTTGTATGACTGTACATCTTTTTATTTGTTGTCGTTTTGGGCGCACAAGAAGTCTAGGTGGTAATGTTATTTTAATAAAGGTAATAGAATACGTTTGAAAACGTAAAAGTTTTTTTCCAAGGATTGGAGAAGTTTTGTAAGGTTTTATTTTGTTCCAAAGTTTACCAAGGACTTATGTTGGTTTGTTTGTGGGGTGTTCAATAACACGAGAACTTTGAGTGTGCGTGTGTGTTTGTGCATGAAGTAGTTCCCACGGCTCGGAGTGGTTCGTTGATGTATGTGGATTTAAAGTTTGGCTCTTTATTTGAGAAGCATGTTGTCTTATAGTTGAGATTATTTAGTTGCAGGGATCGAAGACGTAGACTTTACTCGCCATGAATGTGTGTAAGGGGCGTGCTGTGTGTGTGTGTGTGTGTGTGTGTGTGTGTGTGTGTGTGTGTGTGTGTGT